CAAAAACGTGTGAGTTGGAGGCTAAAAAACTGTAAGCTACCTCACACTAACTCAGCTTAGTGGGAACACTGGTGACAACCCAGCCCAAATCAGAAGGAGGAGGAGGAGATTGGGTTTACACCCTGCCCTTCATTCAGAGTCTCAGAGCAGCTTACAATCTCCTCCCCTTCCTCTCCCCGCAACAGACACCCTGTGAGGGAGGTGGGGCTGAGAGAGCTCTGAGAGAACTGCTCTTGGAGAACAGCTCTGAAAGCACTGTGACTGACCCAAGGTCACATCAGCAGGTGCAAGTGGGGAATCAAACCCGGTGCTTCCAGATTAGAGTCCGCGTTCCTAACCACTACACCATACTGGCTCACCGCACCCAGTGGTTTCTTCTGGATGCTGAAAAGCACAGGGGATGAGATAGAGCTGTGCTGGACCTCACAGGCTTGAAGGGCTGAGCAGCAGTCCCCCAGTACCACCTTCTGAAACATTCCCTCTTGGTAGGACCAGAACCACTGCAAAATGGTGCTTCCCCCCCAGTCCCATCCAGGAAAGGTGGTCCAGAAGGATACCAAGAATGATCGTATCAAAAGCCACTGAGAGTTCCAGGAGAATTAACAGAGTTGCTCTCCCTCTGTCCACCTCGTGGTACGTGAGCAATCAAGGCTGTTTCAGTCCCATAACCAGGCCCTAAACCAGATTGGAAAGGATCCAAACAATCTTCCAGTCTTAGTGTCAGACAGTTCAGAACTCATCAGCATATATTTAAAGTTAGAATATTTTATTCCAGTGTGCTTTGTCTTACACTTAGCAGTGCTGAACTTCATTTGCCACGGTGCTGCCAACTCACCAAATTTGGATAGATTCTTCATAATCCACTGTCAACTGGTGGAAGAGGCTGAAAGAGCGTTACGTCCCCCTTCTCCCACCCCACCACAGCCTCCCAAGCCATGTGGCTATTATTCCATGCGGGTCCCACAACACCAAAAAGAAACTTTGCTGGGGTTGGAAAAGACTGCTGGCAGGAGAAGGATTTGGGGGACATACGCAGCCATCAGCACCTTCTGCTGATCCTTGGCGGGATCTAACCCAGTCTCTACAGCCTAACTTAACTCACAGAATTGTTGTTAGGATGAAATGAAAAAGGGGGAGAATGACGTACACCACCCTCAGTTCTTTGAAGGAAGCTTGGGATAAAAATGCACAATGGTTTACATTTGCACTGCTCCTCTGCACAGTTTCAGGACATCAGTCTTTCAGTTAACCTGTGCAGTTCATTGACAGAAGCACGTCTCTACAATTAAAGTTTCTCTCCAGTGCTTAGTCTTGAAGGACTCCTTGCTCTGTCTAAGGGGATGTGACATAGGTCTTTATGGGACTCTTTTACAGACCAGAGACTGAGACTAATTGATAGTGATATTGCAAAACTGATCTGGGAAGGACTGTCTTTGCAGTAAATGGATAGGAACACCGGAAAACTTCACGGTTATAAAATTGCTGTCTTTTGTATGACCCCGTACTCTTAACATGAGGTTTTATTCTTCTGTCCTTCCTACAGCCCTTGCTCTACTTCCTCTTCCATCTTTCTTTCCTCCTCCTACTCTGCTCTTTTCCTTTCAGTCTACAGTCTACCTAATGGGACAAATTTCTCAACATCAACAGTGAAACAAACTACAGGTATTAAAACACAACAGATTGTTTTATACTTCTCTGCTTTATTATCCATGGAAGCCCACCTAGAAAATTTTGACTTCGATAGTTTCAGCTCCGTCTCAGAGATAATGCCAAAGAGCCATTAAAATATTTAGCTCTCAGTGTTCCCTCTAAGCTGAATTAGTGTGAGCTAGCTCACAGTTTTTTAGCCTCCAGCTCACACATTTTTGTCTTAGCTCACGAAGGATGGCTCCAGAGCAAACTAATTTATGCAGTAGCTAAATCACTCGCTCACAACTTTAATGCCAGTAGCTCACAAAGTAGAATTTTTCACTCACAGCTTAGAGGGAGCACCTGGCCAGAACTGCCTGATGGAAATGTAGCTTTTCAGTGTAACAGAATATTATTAGTACAGTTTTAAATACTAGCTTAGGCAACATGGAAAGGTATTCATATTTATTAAAATGTATTTAGATATAATTTTAAAAAATTAATCAAGGGATACCACACAGTTAAAAGCCCCCAGCCCTGTATGCCTTGTGACACTTTGCCCATTTTAACCAATAACCAGTGCTTCCTTTATCCAGGGTTTCCACTTCCCCATCTAGAGGTGTTGGTACATTGGAAAAAAAACCCTTTGGCAACCTAATAGTTTTGTAATTGTGCATAGTGATCAGTTCCTGTTTACCTTGAATTTTTAACAGCGGTTTCGTCAATTCTTTTTATAATACATTATAACTTTATTATGAACGTTACATGCCAACCTGCCAGCTGCATTGTGTGTCATCGAACAGTTGTGTGCATGTGTGTTTTTAGTAGCGGTTTTCTAGGAAGCACTGCCTATTGCTCTTTCAGCTGTTCAGCTGAATCACTAGAAATCCAGGAAATAACAGTGACTTTACGGGAAAAGGAATCTCTTGTTTTCTCAAAGCATGACGGGGAAACTATGAGCCAGAACACAGAGATGTATTTTATTGGGACAATGTATATTAGTTAAGCTTGTTGAACAATCTGTATTGCTATCTGATACTGATGTGTGAGACAATAAATGTCCATGTGCTCATCACTGAAGGAATTCTAGCTACAAGAGTGGCATCTAGATGGAGAAGGACACAATATGCATGCCCATTGGGCTCCTAGTAATCTAATACTACCAGTAGTAAAAGCAGAGCTGGTTGTCAGAATAAATATTCCCACTGATGGCAACCTTGTATTTTTTTTAAAGAAAACGGGTGATTTTTAGATCATTAGTAGTAACTCAAGAAGATCTTAATGGTGCTTATCACTGTGACTGTATGAGACATTTGTGTGGGAGAAATTTTTTTAGCGTGAGACAGGAGAATTTTGGAGTGCCCAAAATGTTCCTGCCAGCCCATGGAATGTTTATCTTTTCACATCTAGTCTCTGCCCCTTGCAGCTGCTGCTGTAGCACCATATTTTAAAGCATCATCTTATTATCCCAGCCAGTCAGGGATCACATAGCTAGGCACTTGGTGTGATTACATTACAAAACCAATTCAGGCTGAGGGCAATTTTTTGCCTTCACTCTGTACCAATATCATAATACTTTATATCCAATCAGATTTGTCTATGTACCAGTATCCCTAAGAAAGTTCAGAGTAGGGGGCAATACTTCTTATCCCCACTCTGAATGTGCTTTTGCTGCTGTTTGTGATACACACCCCTGCCAAAACTCATCCCTACTTAATATAACAATATTTATCATATATTCTAGTGTTCACATGTTTATGGATAAATGTGCTTGATTAAGAATATAACAATCACACAGCACCTCCTGGCACTAAGTAATTCAGTAAGGATATAGTCTGTTAGCAAACTTTGGCTCAGCATGGACATAACAGGAAATCCTGTTTCAATTAAACCAGCTATTGTCAGTGCCAATGTCTGAACAAGGGGCACTTCACTAGCTATGGCTAGGTAGGGTCCATTAGATTCATAGTTTGAGTTTGGTTTATTAACCACGTCAGTCGTAATTATGGCTTTGCGAAATGCAGAGCACAAACACCTGGGCTGTCTCCAGTCCCCATTTGATTAAACAATTATTACCTATATTTTCATCTTCTTAACTCCTAAGAAGCATTTCACATACTACAAGGCAATAAAACCAGGGTATGCCTCCAACTGTACCATTGATGTGGTACTGCAGCCAGTCTTGGTTCTCTGATTAGTTTACATGGATTTACAAACATGTGCTTTTCAGAGTCACACATTTTATATCCATTTAAAAAATCTCAGACATATATTAAAATTGTAGTGCACAATCCAGCCAAAATTAAGCACTATTGATTTCAACAGGCACACTAACTGTATCCTTAAATTTCTCTCATTGATATAAATGGTTGATGTGTGTTTAACTTTGGCTGGATCATGCCTGTAATGTGAAGAAATCTTTAGGAAGCTCAGATCAAAATGGGGGAGGACCACCATCACCATTAATGAAGAAGAAGAGAAGAGACTGGATTTATACTCTGCCCTTCACTCGGAGTCTCAGAGCGACTTACAAACTCCTTTCCCTTCCCCTCCCCACAACAGACACCCTGTGAGGTAGGTGGGGCTGAGAGAGCTCTTTCCAGAGCTGTCCTTGAGAGAACAGCTCTGAAACAACTTGTAACTGACCCAAGGTCACATCAGCAGGTGCAAGTGGAGGAGTGGGGAATCAAACCCGGTTCTCCCAGATTAGAGTCCGCGCACTTAACCACTACACCAAACTGGTAAATTTTGTAGATGAAGTAAATATATCTACAACCATACAGAGAAGTATAATTGCAAAAGAAAGCTCAGAGAAATATATTTTAAAAAAAGATTTGGAATAATTCCTGTGGTTTCCTAAAGTCAGAAAGTGGGAAGCAGAGCTTAAGCATAGAAAAATAAATGGTTTTTGCAAACTGTTCTCCTCCACTGTTTCCCCAGAGAACTCAGCTTTTTGTTGTTAATTTTATTTTGGTTTTGCCAGTAGGAGGACAGATTTGTGATGACTGGGGCTGAAGGTCAACAGCCGACAGCTTGTAGAAATGGGTAAAATGTATACTGAGTTGTGGCATCAGCAGTAAGAGGGCTTATAAAGAAATGCTTGTCAGCTACTTCATTGTTCCCATCCGGTTGCTGAAGAACTATCTTTTACAAAGCACTTTATCACTCCCTGTAAATAGATGGTTGTTCTCTTGTGCCTGTTAATAGTGCCTGTTAGTTACTGTAGACAAACAAACATAAAATGGAATCTGGAAATATGTCAAATGCGGACAAATCTTGTGTTTTCAGCTAATTATTTAATGGTTCTAATGGAAAAATAGATGCTTTCTTACTAATGCTCTAGAGTTAAGACTTTTATTATTTTCTTTCAGAGGAATCTCTCTTCCCGTACCAGCAAAGATACCAGTGCTGTCCATATTCCTATCGTGGCCACTAATGCCACCTGCATAGTGCGAGTAGCAGCAGTCACTAAAGGCGGAGTTGGACCATTCAGTGATCCAGTAGAAGTTTTTATTCCAGGGAATGGTGAGTCAGAATAATTTAGTGAAGTGGGCTAAGGTTGGGTTGGGAGATTAATGAATGCAGAATGTAGGTAGGACCAACCCCCAGCAGAAAACAAATCTCACAAAGTTGTTCTCTAATGGGTCATCCCTTTAACTGTGTTATCTGCCTTGAGATTATTTTTTCCCTGCAGGTGAACCATGCACACAAGCAATTGTGCATATTAAAACGACGTAACTATTTTCTTGAACACGTATATATGAGCATGCATAACTGCATCTAGATTTCGGCCACCCATTCTGTTATGCATCTAAATACATTTGAATATGGATCCTAGTTGTATTGGCTACTGCCACTTATTCAAATGGACATTCTCATCCGTATTCTGGTTTGTCTAGCCACCAAAAATAAGCATAATAAGATCAACGTATAAGAATCTACACTTACCTAAATGTTTGCCCATTGAGATTTTATTTTGAGTATAGGGCCAGGCTGTATGGTTTATCCCCCCCCCTTAAAGTATTGTATATGTACCAGTGCTGCACACAGCATATATTTTAATTCAGGAGTAACAGAGATCGCTGCTAGGGCAAGTGCACTTTGCCTGCACACCTGAAATTGACAAGAGGCTTTCTCCCCCTCTTTTGCTCTGCAGGGAGTTCTGCTAGTAAAATGATGGTCAAGAACAATGAGGTGAAATTGACATGCTCATTGTAAATTTGCTCTCATCTTTATCTTCTGTATCCTTTTTTACACACACATCTTTGGGAGATTTCAAAGATGGCAAAGAACTTGCCATTATAACAGCCTTTACAAATTCCAGAAATCTAAGCCAGAAGTAAGTGCTTCAGCACTGCTTCACAACCAAGATAAAACACATCAGAACTGCTAAATCTGAGGGAAGAAAGTTTGCAAAGAAGGGATTGTGAAACCACCTCAAACTGCGCAAATTGGTTATGCTGTGAATGAAATTTCTCTCTCCTGCCAGACGCGCTTAATGATGTGTGGGTTGTGGGTTGTGGTGAGCCAGTTCCCTCTAAACAAGATCATTTTGTCATATGTTACGCTGTGTTTCATGGACACGGATGGATTAATCATTATGCTTACTAGCCTCTTTTCTTCCTCAGCTAAACCAGGACTGCCTCAGTCTAAATTTTGCTCCTTGCACAGAATGCTTTTCAAACTCTCGCTAGCACATAGCATAGAGTCTATTCCTTCAGCTTTTGCAGAGTTCATGAATTCCTTCAGCCAATTAATCCCTTCAAATAACAGTTTGTGGTCGTAGCTTTATTTGCATGAACAGTGTAACTTCTCATAAGAATCCTAACAGAAGTTGGAGCAGTTCTTTCATTGCTATTCCCTTTGTCCCTAGCGTGCTCTGTTAGTGGAAGTAGTCCCTGCAACTCCTCAGGCAATGTCCACTGTACTATGGAGCCTTCTTTCAACTTAATTGGCTCTTCATCCTAGGTTTGATATCCACTGCACCATCATCAGTTCCAGCGTCTGGAAATTCAGATCCATTCATAATTGTCCTGGGATTTATATGTGGAATATTTGCTGTTGGATTAATCCTGTATCTGTCGGTGGTTATCAGGAAAAAGTTGGTGGAAGAAACCAAGTTTGGGTAAGTTACATAAGGAAGGATAAAAAACAGATACGCTAAACTTGAGAACTGTTTTCTAGAGGCTCACTGATTCAAGGCATTGACAGGGCAATCCTAAACAGAATTACAAACTCCTAAAACAACTGACTTCAGTGGATTTAGAAGGGTGCAACTCTGTTTAGGACTGCACTGTTAGCCACAGTTCATTTTTTTGGTTGGTAGAAGAAATTAATGCTCACCTTCCACGTTTAAGCAGAGGAACTGCATTCTTCTAGGATATTCACAGTCCTGGTGGCTCCCCCCCCAAAACCCTTTTGAAACCTGTACCTAATGTACCTTTGAAAAATAGTAAGTTTGCCAGTAGAGTGCTGAAAGGCAGCACTCCCACTTCAAGCACTGGATCCACAAACAATAAAGTGCTCTGAGTACCAGTGGTGTGTTCATTGGAAATTAAGCACTCTTAAGCCCCGTAGAGTCTTTAGCATGCTCTCCCATTGAAACAAGCTGTAGTTCTGATAAGAGCTGTTCTTGAAAACTCCTCTCTTAGGCAGACCCATCCAACAATGCCCTCTTCTAATCTGCCACATCCTCTTGGTTACTACTACTCAGCAGCAGTGGCTTCTTACTTCCCACCTCACTGGCTGGCCACCACCAATCAGTTTCTCACAGCCAGCACACAGTGAGGGATCAAGCTCTCTCTGAGGTCTCCATGATGCTTTAGAAAACTCAGAAGAGAAAAAAAGTTCTTTCACACTGTGCTGGGCATCCAGAAAGAGAAAGTCATCAGAAAAGGTTTCCTTGTCCCTTGTAATGGTGAAGTGACTGCGTTTGTGAAACTGGGCTATACAAGCCTTCCCCCCCCCCCTGACATTCCTGCCCGCTCACAGCCAGCACACAGTGAGGGATCAAGCTCTCTCTGAGGTCTCCATGATTCTTTAGAAAACTCAGAAGAGAAAAAAAGTTCTTTCACACTGTGCTGGGCATCCAGAAAGAGAAAGTCATCAGAAAAGGTTTTCTTGTCCCTTGTAATGGTGAAGTGACTGTGTTTGTGAAACTGGGCTATACAAGCCTTTCCCCCCCTCTGACATTCCTGCCCATCATCCTCTGTGCTAAATGCATCCTGGTGGCTCATACGATGAGCCAGCTTTCTTCTTTTGCTTTGAACCCATTTGCCCCCAGAAGAGTACAATGGTAGGTGCAGCTAGACACATCACTACCAAATCATGTAAATGCATACTAATCTGTACTTGTGAGGGACCCCCACAAATAAATCTTTATTTGAATACTATTACAAAAACCATTATCTTAGGGTTAAGCACAACAGGTACAAGGCATGAGGGTTGTTTTACATTCTAGAAAGGTGTGTCATCATTGATATTAACACAGTGATTAAATGTGTGAATTCAGGACCCCTGACATGAAGATCACCTCACTAAGTGACTTTGGGAGGCCATTTCTCCCAGTCGCAACCCTTCCTCTTCCCTATAGAGATATGGGGTTAATAATAACAATAATAATATTTGTATATTTTCCATTGCTGTTGTAAGGATTACTGAGATACTGTACATGATGTTCTTTGAAGCTTACAGATGTTCTGTATAAATGCTAAGTGTTGTTATGGCTCTACCTAGAGGATGGAGAAAAGGGAGTTTACACTCTCAGAAGATTTTGATAATAGAGATTTTGCTGAGTAGCCTTGTGAAGCATGACTCATTTGGACATGTGATTGTGAGCTGCATTTTAAAGGCTAAATGTTTTGAACATCTGGTTTTGGGGTGGTTTTCTTTAACCAAAACACACCAGTAAGGTCCTTCTTAACTTCAGACTTGTCTAGTCCATACGCAATGCCTTAGTTTCCCTTCTACTGTATAGCAATTTGCTGTACAAGCTGCCTGTCCTGCTTCCTGCTGAAGTTGGTCAGGCTTCCACTGGAATTTTGCATTGTACTGTTTTATTTAGGGAGCCAATGTGTAGTGTAGTGGTTACAGTGTCGGAGTAGGGTTTGATAGTCCCAGGTTCAAATCCCTGTTCTGCCATGGGATCTCACTGGGTGACCTTGGGCTAGTCACACTAGCTCAGCGTGACCTATTTCACAGGGAGAATGGAGAAGGCGAGAATGTCTTATGCTATGAATATACTAAGTGTTGTATCTATAAATTTTATTTTGTCCTCACACTGAATAATCCTGAGGGGAGTACAGCATGTTCAACTACACCACACAATAACTTGCTCATATAGTCATTGGGAGTCACTGATGGCACATATACAGAAGGGGGAAAGTTTTCCTGACTTTTCCTACCCACAGGAAAAACATCTGAATACAAACCAAACGACAGTCTTCCCACTTTTCTAGAAAGCCATGAATTTTTCTGCTGCAGCCAAGTAAAGTTCTCCACTCCCAAATTGTACGTGTTCATGGGGGGTTCCTTTTCATCACATCTTTGCAGGCCATTTGCTTCTGCACTGAAGTACTCTTCTAACTGAGATCAGTGCAGCCTTTCAGCACCACTTTCAGACATGCAAGATTTCTTTTCGTCTGTGTGCTAGAGGACAACATTGTGACTTTATATGATGTTGAGCAGGCCTACCAAGGGTCAGAATTGAGTGCTGCTGCCCCAGTCCACCAATATTTGCATGACAATGCAATACAAGGACATTCGTAGTGATCTGCTGGGGGGTTGGGACAGGTATGAGAAGGCATTCTAATAGCCAAAGGAAAGCTGGGGCAACTTGGTGTCACTCTTCCATTCTAGTCAAGGGTTTGACCCACATTTTGTTGAATACTATGTTGTTGTTGTGCTTAAGTAATCATTTGCATCTGGACTGCATTGTCCTCACAGAAAAACCCTGTTGCAAATAATGGCTTTAATGTAACAATATCACAATACCCGATGATGTTTGGATGCCACCAGGGAAATTCATTGCATTGCATTTGTTTCAGGCTTCTTTTTTTGTATGTGTGGTCTGTTCTGTGCATTGCTTCAAGTGCATTTTATTCAGTGATTATGTATTATCAGTTACATTTGTGATGGATACATTCTTCGTAGTGATCTGCTGGGGGGTTGGGACAGGTATGAGAAGGCATTCTAATAGCCAAAGGAAAGCTGGGGCAACTTGGTGTCACTCTTCCATTCTAGTCAAGGGTTTGACCCACATTTTGTTGAATACTATGTTGTTGTTGTTGTTGTTGTTGTTGTTGTTGTTGTTGTTGTTGTGCTATAGTAATCATTTGCATCTGGACTGCATTGTCCTCACAGAAAAACCCTGTTGCAAATAATGGCTTTAATGTAACAATATCACAATACCCGATGATGTTTGGATGCCACCAGGGAAATTCATTGCATTGCATTTGTTTCAGGCTTCTTTTTTTGTATGTGTGGTCTGTTCTGTGCATTGCTTCAAGTGCATTTTATTCAGTGATAATGTATCATCTGTTACATTTGTGATGGATACATTCAAAAAATACAAGAGTGGGTGGTTTTCTCTTCCCTTATACCATGGGACTGCCTTAATAGCAACAGCAAACCCCCTCAGACTGTGTTCTTGCAGCTAAGGCAGAGTCATAGAACTGGGCCTGAGCTACGAAAGTGAAATTATTCTTGTATGTCTCTTTTTTTATGCCTCTAATACTAGATGGCGCAGGCTAGCCTCATGTTGTCGGATCTTGGAAGCTAAGCAGAGTTGGCCCTGGTTAGTACTTGGATGGGAAACCACCAAGGAAGTGCAGGGTTGCTGTGCAGTGGCAGGCAATGACAAACAATCTCTTTTTGTTTTCTTACCTTGAAAACCCTAGGTGGTCACGTAAGTCAGCTGCCATTCATGGCACTTTTCACCACCAGTTTTTCAGAAATCAGTACTGCAGATGTATAACCATAAATATCTTCAGCTGGAAGAGTAAGTGGTTTTCAGAAACTACTGTTGCCTAATTTTCACAGTGTTTTATCCAATAATTTTGAAAGGGAGGGGGGAAAGGGGGAGAGCATTTGAAGTAAATACAGCGCTTCCACTAGTAAAATCTTGGAAACAACAGTACTGCAAGACAGGGGTGATGGTTTGCAATTTAATGCAGTGCTGTAGTTTCTATTTCTCCCCTGCTTCCAGTAGTTCACCTTTTAAGACTTTCCCCCTATTTTTGGAAGTCATGTGGTAAAACAGCACCAGAGAAACTAAGAGCTGAGCTTGGTAGTGTAGGAGGGATTCCTTAAATACTCCGGGAACAGGAACAAAGCAAAGCCTTGTTCTCTCAGTTTAGAAGCAACTTACTTGAATTCCACTGAGCTGGCTACTTTGCGTAAGCATCAGTTGTACATGCAGAAGGGTCTGGCGGACTTTGGGGCAGAAGGTGGCTGTGCTAGGGCACATGCTGTAATTACACAGGACATTGGCCAGGCCTGTTGGGCTTCCTGTTGCCTTGTGTGAACTTCATGTTCAGCCATCCTAGTGCACCTCCAACACTCCCTTGTGGCAGCACAAGGCAGGGCAAGGTCAGTAATGGCAGGCAAGTTGTCACTTGTTTGCCATGACTGATCTTTCCATTGCAGAACGTAAAAGCATTATCACCAGTGGCCCATCTAATCCAGCATCCTGTTTCACACAGTGGCCAACCCGTTCTTGCTCTGCAGCACTGTTATTCAGAGGTTTACTGCCTAAAGACATTCACTCATTGTGGCTAAAAGCCATTGAATGACAATCCTGCATGAATTTGGCTAAACCCGTTTTTAAGCCAACTGAACAATCATCACTGCAACCTGTGGCAATGAATTCCACTGGCTAATTTATTTTTGCGTGAAGAAGTATTTCCTTTTGTCCATCCCGCCTGTTCTGCCCAGCCACCTAGTAGGCTGCTTGGGAGTTCTAGAATTATGGGGGGGTCAGGGTTGCCAACTCTGGGCTCAGAAATACCTGGAGATTTGAGGGTGGAGGCTGGGTGAGTGGGGGATAATGCCATGCAGTCCACTTTCCAAAGCAGCCCTTTTCTCCAGGAGGAATAAATATTTTAATAAACAAACAAATAATAAATA